TTTCCTCAAAGGTCAACAGTGGAGATCCCAGCCCTGACTCTGCCACAGTCCTGATGGACACTAACAAGACAGCAAAGCTGCAAAGGAAACAATTTCATCATTAAAATCCAGACCTAATAATATTATTAGAAAAGTACTTCAATATTAAAATCCAGACCTAGTACTATCATTGGGATATTTTTTTCATGGAAATTATTTCTAAAACCAAACTCTTGTGCAAAATGGTTTTGACTTTATTTTGGAAACTTCCCTTCTCCTCGTCTCTATTTTCATGGAAAAGAATGGTTGAACGAACGGCATCAGTTCTATAGGAACTATTTCATTTGAGCTCGAGATGGAAGAGGTGGAGGATTTTTTGGGGGAGTGAGGGGGTCACTCCTGGCAATGCACATGGGTTACGCCTGCCTCATGCACTCAGGAATTATTCCTGGTGTTGCTCAGGGGACTATATGGGATGCTGGGAATCGAACCCGGGTTGGCCGCATGCAAGACAAACACTGTGCTATTGCTCAGCCCAGGTGGGGGACGGTTGTAACATAGTGGTCCTGCTAAAAATTAAGAGCTGCTAAGTACACTTCCATCTTTCTCCTTCTGCTCTGTGTGTCTCCAGCCATGGCCAAGGGCTTGTGCACTTTGCTTTTTCCTAGGACCTGCAGTCCCAGAATGCCTCTCCCAAAGGCAAAGTTCCCATCTTGCACGCAGTGCAGCATCCACGGGAATTACCAATCACCTGAAATGCTGAAAGCCTCTTGGAACGGCGCCAGGTCCAGCCTTACTGTCTCCCTTCCATTTCCAATATGAACGACTGTAACAGAAAGGACAAAGTATTCAACTGGAAAAAACATTAAGTTTATCTCCAGGAACAGGTTGCCTCATTGGGAGGAGGGCATGCCATCTCCTCCAGGGAAAAGGAGTGATTGGAGGATTCATCCCATCCATTATCCACCCCGGTTGCACCCTCTGGGTGCTCAGGGCTTCCTGGGAGCACGGCTTTACGTGGAGATGACGAGTTAGACATTGTGCATGCGCAGAAGCACACGCTGGCCCCAGGATTGCCCGATGAACTGGATCCCGAGCTTTGTGACTGGAGGCTATGTGACATGGGGTGCCAAACTGAAGGACTCTTCTTGAGACATAATTTCAGAGATGCCCACACTTAGGAACCAGGGTCACTGACATTTTAAAGTGATACCCAAAAAAAAAATCAAAATGCAGAATGACAATGTATAGTTCCCCAAAGACACCATGGGCTTCCAAAGGGCCCTGGTATGGATCTGGAGGGGTCCGAGCTCAAAGTCCCCAACCTGGGCCTCAGTGCTGATGTCAGAGCTGAGATTCAAGGTCACAGAATTCCCGCCTCCGGACCCTTGCTCTCTGGAGAATCTCCCTTTCCAGTCTGTGGTTTAAATAAAGCCCAGACGGGGATTCCCCCCTCCCCCCAGAACACAAGACTGCACACAGTCCCTGACAGAGACCGTATTTAGACTCTCCTGACTCATACTTTCCTGTTTATTTCCCACCATGGCTCAAGCGAATTATGCCAGGCGGCCAGGTGCAGCTGGTGGACATTCCCAAATTGGCCACAAAGACTTTAGCAAGGGCAGTGCTAACACCACTTGCCCCAGTCCAGTCCTCTTGGGGGTAATCTTTTGTTTTTCTCTGGAAATTGTGGAAATAACAGACCCCCCAAAGTCCTTTATTAAGCACTGGAGAGAGAGCTCCATGGGCTGAAGTGCATGCTTGGCACACATTGGGCAGAGGTTTGGTTCTCGCATTACCACCCGTGACCCCCAGCCCAGAGGAGGAAGTAGTACCTGAGCACCTCAAGGTGGCCCACGAAACCAAATAAATAAATAAATAAGTCCCTTTGAGAGTAGAGGAATAAACACCTTTAATGCATTTTTTTGTTTAGTTTTGTTTTCGGGCCACATCCAGTGGTACTTACTCTTGCTCAGAGCTCAAGGATTGAAAGAGTTTTCAATGTGACCTGGGACATGCCAAAACTTTACAGCAAGATATGTCAAGAGTGACAGGAAATTGCCCTATGGGAAAACACCATGGGCTCTTAGCAGTTCCCAGAGGAAGGCTGCCACCAGCTCCTAAAACCTCTCCGGTCCGGGGCTCTGCTTCTGATCAGTGCCAGCATCAAGTCGCGCTGCCAACTGCCCTTGGCACAGGGAGGGGAGGGGAAATTCCTGCTACAAGACAAAGGGTCCATTCTCAACACACCCAGTGTCACCAGGGAGCAGGGAAGGTGCAAAGGCGTCTTTGTTGTCTTCGTTCTCTTCTGCAAAGCAGAGGCAACTGTGACAGACACCTTAACCTCCCTCGCTTCCTGCAGAACACAAGGGCGAAATCCTATTCCTCTGCTGACTGGTGCTGCAGCTCCAACAGGACTATAGCTAAGAGACTGCAGCACCATAATAGAAGGCCAAGACAGGAAGCCCAGCCTGGGGGAAAGGCAGAGCTGTGTTATCTTGACACAGCCTGACTCAGTAAGCCCTAAAAAAGATGTATCACAAGCTGTGTGCCCCTCCCCCCACTTTTGTTTATAAAGGGAATAATCAGAATGAGAGGCTTTTTTTGACCTCAGAGACAAATGAACAACCAAATTAGATTATTCTCTGTTTTTCTTCTTTTATTCATAAAACAACTAGGCTGTGAGATTATTATTTTTTTAACTTGGTTTTTAAAGTTATATAATTCTGGACAGCATCATAATTTAAATGAATTATTTCTCAAAGTGGAAAAATGCACTAAAAACATATTTTAGTAGCAATATTTTATTTATTTATTTTGGTTTTTTGGGTCACACCCGGTGATGCACAGGGGTTACTCCTGGCTATGCACTCAGGAATCACTCCTGGAGGTGGTCAGGGGACCATATGGGATGCTGGGAATCGAACCCGGGTTGGCCGCGTGCAAGGCAAACGCCCTACCCACTGTGCTATCACTCCAGCCCCGCAGTATTTTATTTTTTAAAAAAGATGTTATTATTGAATCGCTGTGAGACAGACCCTTACAAAGCTCTTCATTATTAGGTTTCAGTCATACAGTGTTCCAACATCCATCCTTCTACCAATGTACGTTTCCCAGCACCAGTGTCCCCAGTTTCCCTCCCATCACAACCCTTCCCCCAGCCCATTTTTTAAACTCTTTTTTGGGGGGTGGGGTAGGTGGGGGAGAAGGGATTGCGGGGGAGAAGGGATTGGGCCGCATCCAACAGTGTTCAGAGCTTATACCTAGCTTCGTGCCCAGACTTCTGGTGGCTCTTGGGGAACCATATGATGCACCATGCATTAAACCGGGTTCAGTTATGCAAGGCAAAAGGCTTAAGAGTGTACTATCTCTTTATCTCTTAACCCTATTTTATGAAGTTATTAAGTTACAGGCAATAGTCCAGTGATGCTTAGGGAGTGACGTAGTATACCAAGCGCTGAACTCAGGGCCCTGGACATCCCAGGCATATGGCTTTCCTACTTGAACAACCTTCATGGCCTAGAACTTGCAGTTATTAACCAAAGATGAAGCAAACAAATTTAATGTAACTAATAATGACTTTTTAGCACAGTATCTGATCCCATTCAGTTCAGATGCCATTCTATAACAGGAGAAACAAATCAGATTCCACGTTGCACTTTTTCTTTTCTTCTTCAAGCATGGTATTCTGTTCCTGCCCCCACCCTTGCCCCATATCCACACCCCCTTTGCCTGCAATCAAAGATATCAAAGAAGAGCCTTGAAATGGCAGATTAACCAAATGAAAAACTTGCACATTTGGCACAGAGAACTTAATCCTCACAATATATACACTGTGTTGAAGGGCTAGGGAAAAAATTATCTCAGAAATGAGATAAATGATTATCTCAGAAATGATCCCTAAGCACAGAGCCAGGAGAAAGCCCACTGAGTGCAACCCCAAAAGGAGAAAAATAAACAAAAATTTCTGTTGAAAGGAAGAGTTGTGCTAGATGTGACCAAGTCCCTACACCATTTGTGCAAGAATAGCCCTGGCTTGATGGGGACGTGGGGGGGGGGGGGGGGGAGGAAGGCAGAATGGGGGCGGAATCGGCACATCCTTCCTGCCCTGCAGAGACCACGAGTTGCCCCCCCTCCCAAGCGGCTCTCTGGCACAGCCATCGCCCCAGACGCATACAAACCAATCTTGTAACTATGCAGTTTTGGGCAGAAATCCCTCCAGACTTAGGAAAATATCAGAAATCCAAAATCGCGTGGCCACTATTGCGGCCATGCGACATTTCATGATGCCTTTCAGCAGGTCTGATTGTTAGGGGAAAATCCCAAATAATAATGCTGCATCTTTTGTCAAAATAATGAATGTAATCAAAGTAGAGAGAGAGTTCAGTAGAAATCATCTGCCTCACAGGCAGGAGGAGGGGTGGGTTGGGGAATATATTGAGGTTCTTGGTGGTGGAAAATATGCACAGGTGAAGGGATGGGTGCTTGATCATTGTATGACCGAGACTTAAACCTGAAGCTTTGTAACTGTTCTCACAGTGATTCAATAAATAAATTTAAAAGAAAAGAAAAGAAAAAGAACAGCCCTGGCTTTCTGCTATTAGCACCAGCCACGGAGGTACTAGCAGCATAGTACCTCTTCTTTCTGGAACCATTCCTATCCCACTCTTGCCCAGGCTTCTAGACTTGGGAGCATGGTCCCTGAGAAATGAAGAAACTCACTCTGTACCCTGCACCTTGTTCATTTCTACACCAGGATCATAGGCAAATCTTGAAACTGGGTTGAGCTGCTAACCCTGCCGAAGATGGGACATGTCCAGTGCCAAAGAAAGCTCTAATTCACTGCTGCTTTTTCATCTGGAAGATTCCCTAATGCCTGATGTATAGCAATATGATTTCTGAGTACTTAGGTCTTTTCCAGTGATGATCCAATGAACATCAGGATAGAGTGGATGGGTTTAGAGGTACAGAGTAGAGACACAGTGTGATACAGGGACACCAGAAACTGCAGGAGGGCTTACCTAGAGATCTTTCTTTTGTCTGGTTCGTCGACCTCACCACCGGAAGACTTGCTCGAGTTCGGCTGCCTCTAGAAAATGGACTTGGGGCCTCTCCTTCAGACATGGCTTCCAAAGAATCCCCGGAAGTCTCTGATAGATGCTCCACCGGATCGCTTAAACTGGGAGGCTGAGGACTGTGAGACAGTTTGGGACTTCTTGTCTGCAAAAGACATTAAAAAGAAAGTGGGAAAATAGGCTATTGTTAATCATGCTGAAAAAGAGCAACAAAGCCATCAGGAAAAACAGTATGGCAAAGGGAACAATTCCATGGGAAGGACTGGATATAGAGGTCTAGAAGGACCAATATGAGTTATGCAGGCTGTTGTAAATGATATATGGTTTCTTAGTATACTATTAGGAATTTTATCACTGGATGTCTACACTACAAATGCCATTTTCATCAAGAAGTGAAGGACAGAAAATTAGGATGGCAAATAAATTCTTTTTGCCAAATTCCAACAGTTGTTAGCACACCAGGTGAGTTTTTGAGCATTTAGATGTCTCCTAATGTAGACAATGCACTTATTCCACAGTATACCACACAGAATCAGGTCCTCCTTAGTAAGACTGTTCAAAAAACAGTAAATTAAGATGGCAAGTGAATATGATGTGTCTGTTGAACTTTTTCTTTTCAGGCACAATCGTCATATTTAACTTTGAATGTATTTATAGCAACTCACACATGCATACTCAAATACACCAAAATTTCTCTCTTATTATCCACACTATAATCGTAGGGTGTTGGGTGTTGGACTCTATTGGTCAGACTATGGCAGTACATTTCATTTGTTGAATATCATTCTCTAGTAAATAAAAGCATTCCTTGAACATGTACTATTAGTTGAGCAAGCTGGGAGATAAACAAACTAAAACAACATGTTGACTGATGTCAAAAAAGCCAGAACTGATGAAATTTGCGAAGAACAACAAGAAACACAAACCCATGGATGATTAAGTGTAAACTACAAACTGTGTGTTTTAACCAGTCATCATTTCAGCAGACACCCAGGGAGTGCAAGCTAGTCTGTTCAGGCACTAGGTTAGGTACTGGAGACAGAATGATGCTTAAGACCATACACGATCCTCCCCTCTCAGTGTCTATTGTCTACTGACAGCAAGAATGAGTAACCCAAACTGGGGGGAGGGCACATGGGAAGAGAGTTGGGAAGACATGGAAACATTGATTCTAAGGAAGACGGAAGTTGGAAGCAGGTCAGAAGCTATGAATTGAAAGAGAGACAGAGAGAGACAGACAGACAGACAGAGAGAGAGAAAGAGAGAGAGAGAGAGGAGAGAATGAGAGAATGACATTCTAGGGGGCTGGGTCAGCAGATGAGTGCCCCAAGGCTATAGAGGCCAGCATGCTGACTTGATCGAAACCAGCCTTGCAGTCAAGATAAGAATTCCTGACTCATGTTTGGTCTATAGTCTACTTTCAGCATGCTTGCAAACCACAACACCCAAAAGGATAGAGAGAACAAAAGGGAATGCCCTGCCACAGAGGCAGGGTGGGATGGGGGTGATGGGGGGTGGGAGGGATACTGGGATCTGTGGTGATGGGAAATGGTCACTGGTGGAGGGATGGGTATTTGATCATTGTATAATTGAAACCCAAGCACAAAAATTTGTAAGTTTACAACTGTACCTCATGGTGTCTCACTAATAAAAATTTAAATAAATAAATAAGAAAAAAATTAAAAATTAAAAAAAAAGAATTCCTGACTCGGGCCAGAGAGATATACTACAATGGTTACGGCATTTGCCTTGCCTATGGTCAACCCAAGTTTTATCTTTGGCACCCCTGAACACCACCAGGAGCCAAGATTAAGCACTCAGCATCACCAGGTATTGCACCAAAACCAAAAACTCAAAAACAAAAAACAAAATACTGACTTGATGCTATGGAACCAGAATGTCTTGACACATCACAGGTAGATAAAGGGGAACAGGAGCCCAGTGAGACACAATTCTCAGATCTCTCTGGCTACTGTGCAGAGCTTAGAGATGATACACAAGGGGGAGGTCAGAAAACAACCTTCAGCAGTTGGGCTGGTGAAGTGGAAAGATGCATTTGTTCAGCTTTCCCCTCTCCCAGCACCTCCAACTGAAGTACATCACCTGATTTCAGGCCCTTCTGGGAGGCCAACTGATCTGAATGAATCAGGCAGGGGGATTTTCTCAAAGATGCCCAATGGTCATAGGCAGTCCTTGGTAGCTGCTAGGCATGTTTACATTCTGTAGGTGTGTATGTGTGTGTGTGTGTGTGTGTGTGTGTGTGTGTGTGTGTGTGTGTGTGTGTTAAGAATATCAGTGCATTTTAAAGCTAGGCACTATTGTCTTTATGTACTTCTGAGCACAGAGCCAGGAGTAGTCCCTGAGCACTATCAGAGTGGGCCCCAAATCTCAACCTCCCCCAAAAGAGAAAAGACCTAAGATTCAGACATTTGCAAGCCCGTCAGTGAAGTAGTTGCCTTGCTATGTTCTGCACAATATCAAGCTAAGAAGTCCTCATTCCTGACTTGAAAAAAAAAAAAAGGGCATTCATTGGTGGTTGGAAATGTGCACTGGTAGAGGGATGGAACATTGTGTGACTGAAATCCCGCCATGAACAGCTTTGTAAATGTGTATTTCATGGTGATTCAATTAAAAAAAAGATATTCAGTTTAGCAAAAATAGCTACGAAATAATATTACTTTAAGCAACACCACTGCATTTACAAGCTCTTCAATTTGGTCATCTTTGCAGCCTCCGGCAAGCATAGGGCATTAATGAGCTGTCTTTCTCATTGCAAAAGGCAAGAATCCTTGAAGAAAATTAAAATCAAATGTCTCTTTTTTGTTTACAGAGACAGTATATACCAAAATAAAGTTGTAAGAGTGGAAGCTCCCTCTTAAAGAACAAAACCATCCCATACTCAGCTTCTCCATCGCAAATATAAGCTCCTTTCTCCATTTTTCGGTGACATCTACTTTCCCACTGCAAACTGTCACGGCATATTAGCAAACGCCTCACAGGGTCCCTCCCCTCCGCTGCCAGCCTGCTGCTGAGACATCATTTAGTGCACAGAAGAAACAATGGAAATTGCTGACACTTGTGTCAGATACCCTGTGATTTGATATATAAAAAAGGAAAATCAAAAGGCACTTGGACCAGGGACTCTGTCCTCAGCTTGGTACTGAGTGCTGGGATTCCAAGGGCTGGATAGGGTTCAGGGGCACCTCAGATGCTCAATGGATGTGTGGGCGCTGAGTATATCATGGGCGTGTTGGCTGGAAGCACTAAGAAATATGATTTCAAGTGTTTATTTATTTATTTTTTATTTTTTTTGGTGGGGGAGAGGGAGGCACCCCCCAGCGATATTCAGGGCTACCTTCTGTCTCTGTGCTCCAAGATCCCTCGCAGGATCTTAAGGGGTTCTGGGGTTCAAACCTGGGTTCAGCTGCGTACAAGGCAAGTGCCCTTAGCACTATGTATGTCATGGTGAGTGCAAAAGAGCTTTCGGGGGGAGAACTGCTGGCATTAGGGGTTGGGCTGGAGATGGGGAGAACGTGGGTGGGGAGGACTCTGGGAAATCCCCTGCTAACTCACCCACTAGTAGTCACAGGTCTCTGTGTGCTCAGGAACAAGCCAAGAGGCAGGACAAGCAGTAGTCCCTTATGGCTCCCACCCTATCTTCAACAAGGCCTGGGAGTCTGCTATTGGCTCCTCGGCTTTTGACTGCCAAACGCATCCACCAATGAGGTGAGCCTCTAGTGTCCTTCTAAGGGCACTTCACACCTTGCAGGACTGTCTCTTGCATTCCTCTCCAGGAAGCTGAACACCTAAAAATGCTTCACTTCAAGGATTTGACTTAGGGGCAATAACAATAGTATAATGGGTAAGGCACTTGGGCTTGAAGTGATAGCACAGTGGGTAGGGCGTTTGCCTTGCATGGGGCTGACCCGGGTTCGATCCCGTGCAACCCATATGATACCTCGAGCACCACCAGGAGTAATTCCTGAGTGTGGAACCAGGAGCAACACCTGAGCATTGCCAGGTGTAAACCAAAAAGACTAAATTAAATAAATTAATTTAAAAAACAAAGCGAACAAACAGGTAGGTCACTTGCCTTGGAAAGAGCTGGCCTAGGTTTGATCCCTGGCACCCTATACAGTCCTCCGATGCAGCCAGGAAGGATCCCTGAGTGCAGAGCCAGTGGTAAGCCCTGAGCAACACCAAGTATGGCCCATAAAGCAAAAATAAACAAAAATAAAATACAAAATAAAACAAACATATAAAAACAACAACAAAAATAAACATACAATTTTTTTAAAAACGAGGACCTGACTTGGCAGCCTTCTTCAAAGCAGTTCCCGTCCACCCCAGCCCTTGCTCCCCTTTCCTCCTGATGCATGACGATGAGCCCCTGAGCACACACTCACTTCCCCAGGGTGAGTCCTGAGCTGCATTGTGGTCCTTGTGGCTGTTTGCACTCTCAGACACAAACAGGTTTGAGCAAACACTGTCTGTCTGGCCGCCCGTTCCCAGCCCAGATTCCCTCATCTGGCTGGACAAGCATGTTCTCTCCAGGAAATACAGCTGGAAAAGAGCAGCGAGAAACTGGAGTGTATGGAGCAGTAGAGATGGGATGTGATGGGATGCAGTAGCTGCGTGGACAAAGATGGGTGGGAAGAGAAGCAGCATGGAGAAAGGTTGAGGCAGAGCTGCAGGGGAAAGCAGAGACAGGATGCCAATGGGAGAGTTTGAAAATGAAAGAAGAGGGGCTGGAGCAATAGCACAGCAGGTAGGGCGTTTGCCTTCCATGCAGCCGACCTGGGTTCAACCCAGGTTCGATTCCCAGCATCCCATATGGTCCCCCAAGCACCGCCAGGGGTCATTCCTGAGTGCAGAGCCAGTAATAACCCCTGTGCATCGCTAGTGTGACCCAAAAAGAAAAATAAATAAATAAATAAATAAAATAAAACAAAACATTAAAAAAACATTAAAAAAAAAAAGAAAACGAAAGAAGGGAAGTTGCTAGATGTCTGGGCAGCCCAGCTCCTGGTTTCCATTAGTCCACTTAGTTTTATTACATGTTTTTCTTTTTATTATGGTAGTTTAGGTGATCACAATAGTGTTTTTGAAGTTTTACGGTTATTCACGGAGAAAGTTACTGCAGTT